ACTTTTGAAACTGCAGCTCTCTGAGGCTGTGCCTCTGTGTGTGTGTTGGAAGTGAATCGTGATGGGTGGTCTGGAGATGATATATCAGAAAGACTGGCTGGGGAACCTCAGTAATTAAATGCACCCTTATTCCTGAGGGTACAGGTCCTAAGAAGACAAAACATCACTCCAGTAGGTTAGGCCCTTTCCCCATTCCCCCAGGGAAAGCCTAGTGGGTTGAGACCCAAAGAGGACATCTAGATTTCTGCCTGGGCTGATGCTCTGGGAACTTCTAGGGGCTTCCTGAGCCAGAATACTAAATTGCAGAAGTTCCCAGTGTGTTAATCTCATCTGAGACATTGTCAGAGGAACAGCCAGACATGGTTGGACAGAGACCCTGGCCCGTGGCCGTCTGAGGTGGCTTGTGCCATGGTCTGTTGGCACAGGATGTCATCAATGGTTCTACATTGATCTCTCTACATAATCCTGGGTGTCCTGAGCTCACTAGGTAGACCAGGCAGGCCTTGAAAATCAGAGATCTACATGCCTCTGCCTCCTGAGTGCTGGGATTTAAGGTGTGCACCACCACATCCATTGTTATTGTTCCCTTAGAAAAGCCCTGGTGCATGGAAGAGTCTCAGATAAAGCCTTTTGGTGACCCTGTTCCACACTGTGTATCTACTGTCTGCAGTGGAGGCAGTGGACAGCAGCCATGTACAGCAGGCCCCAGGCAGCCCATCTCATGAACCTAGGGAAACATGTGGCCCCTCTCTCCTTGTTTCATGAGGATTTCATTATTTGTTTTTTCAGACAGCCCAGGAGAGCTGTGCCTTCCATGGACCAATCAGTCCATCAGATACTTTAAAAAAACAAAAACAAGCAACCAACCAACCAAACAAACAAAAAAAACAGATGCAGATCTGGTTGTAGATCTGGTGTGTCGAAGGTTGTCTGTGACTGGCTGTAAATGTTGGCTAAAGTTCACTGGACTTAATGAAGTAGAGCTAAAATAATCTTTCCAGTAGCATTTGTAGGCTGAACTTAGTATCACTGGGGAAATCTTAACTTCATTAAAAAAAATTAATGTAAACAGGGAAGCACATCACAGCTTGCCCAGACTGAGCCATGGGGGGTCTCAGGTCTCTGGGATGGGGCTCTTGGCTCTGATCTTTGTCCTTGTCCTCCACTTCTGCTTCAGTGCCCCTTCGCCTGCTCACACCATCACAGGGATATTTTTCTAGTTCCTGTCCAATGGGCTGTGGGGCTGCCTATGACAGAACTCGAATGAACACATTCCCTCTTTCTCTGGGCTTATTCACCAGAGGCTTACATTTCAGCAGCCATTTAAATAAATAATGTGTTTATTTTCTATGATTCTTTGTAATGGGCCCAGACTAGTGACCTCATGTCTGTGCACATTGCATAGATACTGTATGTCTGGCTGCAAATTCCATCTATCTCCTGATCCATGTGGATCTATGGTCTGAGTATCAGTATTTTTAAAAGTGACACCCTCTTACCCCCCACTCAGTGAGAATATGTGGGCAGGGTTGTACATGATTTCTTTCAGGCCTGCTAACCCATTCAGTAATATGGAACATGGAAATAAAAAACCACAGGCATTTGAATTCAAAGGCTTTGAGGAGGCTGGAGAATGTAGTAGCAAGTGCCTGGGCTGTTTTCAGAGTCTCAGCAGTTGAGCCAGGTCACTGTAGGCCATTGACTTCCGTTTTCTCCAGGTTTGCCTCTGGGCCATTTTAACCACAGTGTAACAGCCAGTCGGTGAATCTCAGAAAGTCAGTCTCAAGAATTAAGGAGCCTTCGGAGCACGGGTCAGCTGCCCAGCAAGCCCAGGAGACCGTTTGCAGATGTATATAGCAGGAGAGACTAGAGCAGGACTGAGTATGCACTCCATGAGGGTGAGTGGGAGGAATCAGACTCACGATTTATTGACCACACACTAGGCGCAGTGCTAAGTTGCTCACAAGGGTGAATTCATTCTTGTTTCTCAACCACCCCTCGACAGGTGCTACTGTATTTTAACAATGGGGAAACTTACAGTAAGAGGCTTGCCAGTCGTCCCCCCCCCCCCCGGGGACTTTTCTGCATACCTTTTGGAATTCCCAGGAAGTCATGCTGACTGTCAATGCCAGTGTTCAGGGAGGAGCCGTAACACTGCCTGCAGTTCCTTGGTGTTAACTCAGTTCTCAGGGAAGCCAAGCACCGTTGCTTGGTGAAGGACCCAAAAACCCAGTGTGGGAAGGCGGGAGGGCGCCAGGAGGATGGAATGTCCATGTGTTACCAGGGGGAGGGTCTCAGGACCCGTTCAAACCTGCCTGACTTGTGTCCAAGTTCTGTGACACAATGTTACATATGAAGACAAAGTGAGTTTGGAAAAGTCAACATAGGAGGAAAGTCCTCTTGACATCCAGTTTTTCTGCCTTTTCTTAATGCCCGGGATCCTCCCCTCCACGGTCTCTGCTACCTTCAACTGGGACCATCTTGTTATGGACAGTGCCCATATTCATGCAGCCTTCGAGTCCCATTAGCAGCTTGAAGAACTACAGATTTTGTTTGTTTTTTGTTTTTTTTTGTTTTTTTCAAGACAGGGTTTCTCTCTGCTAACAGCTCTGTTTTTCAGGACAGTCTTGCCGTGTAGCCCAGGTTAGCCTGCAACTTGCAAACCACCTGTTAGACTGAGGGATGGGATTGCAGACGTATGCCAACACACCAAGGTTCAAATCATTTTATCTGGGACAGAAAGCTATTTGGAGCGTGGGTGTTAATACAGTTCTTTCTTTGTCCTTAGTGAACTGTCACAGAGACTTGAAAAAAATTCTTTCAGGGCTGGTGGAATGTCCCCACTCTGTGTCCTTGTGGTCATGTTCTTGTGAAATCTGGGGGACTGATCGGATAACATTTTCACCGTTGGAAACCTCATGATCTGGAAAGGTTGTGCTGAGAGATGCCTGGTGTGTGTGCATCTTTTGTAGGCAAAAGTCTGTCTTGTCAATGTTGCAAACTCTGTAGTGGAACAAAAGCCACACATTCAAAGGGTAGCATTGTTTGGCTGGGCAGAAGTACTCTGTGTCAGAATTTGGCCGTTTCAGAGTGATTGAAGGATGGAGTGGAGTTTGTTGCCATCTGACTGAAAATGGTGGAAAGCTGGGCCAGGACACCATCATTTCATATTCCATGGAACCCTCTACCCAAACCAGGGTCTAAGAACCCTTCAACAACTCAGTGGGATAAGCCCAACCCTTCCTCAGATAACAGGTTAAAAATTCATTAGCCACAGACAAAGCTGCCAGCTACACTGCCTTGTTTAAAGATTATGATTAACCTTGGCAAAGCAGTGTTGGGAGGCAGAGGCAGCTGGATCTTCGTGAGTTCAAAGGTCTGCATAGCAATTCCAGGCAAGTCCAGGAATGATAGATACAATGTGAGACCCTATCTAAAAACAACCAAACAAGAAACAGTGGTACAGTTGGAATGTGTTTTTGCTGGTAAATGTCTGGGTTTATTTTCCTGTGTGATAGAATACTCTGACAAAAGCAACTCAAGGGAGGTGGGTTACTTCAGCTCACAGCCCAATGTGTGGTCCATCTTGATGGGGGAGTCACAGAAGCATTATGGTCAGAGACAGCTCCTTCTCCCTGTTTACACAGTCCAGGATCCCAGCCAGGGAGTGGTCCCCCCACAGTGGCTGGGTTTTCTCATCTCAATTAATATATTTATGTATTCAGGCAGGCCCAGAGGTCCATATCCTAGGTGATTCTAGATTCTGTCAAGTGGACAGCACAAACCACACAATAACGAGATTCATCGGCATGGAATAGATGTTGTGGCTTTTGAAGTGGCTACAGTTGTGGTGGTATTTGCAATAGATTCCTGCAGTAATACTTCTGCAACTCACTGCTGGTCTTGATGACAGTGGGAGTGCAGTGCCATGTGCAGTGGCTTTTCCTGTGTGTGTGTGTGTGTGTGTGTGTGTGTGTGTGTGTGTGTGTGTGAGAGAGAGAGAGAGAGAGAGAGAGAGAGAGAGCACGCCCATGCTCACACAGAGGCTCACACAGTGTCCTACTCTATCACTGTCCATCTTAGTCCTTTGACATGGGATCTTTCACTGAATCTGGAGTTATTCCAGTGGCTACAAGCCACAGAAATTCTCCTGTCTTTCTCCCACCTCAAGGCGAAGTTTATGGGTGTGTATGTGGCCATGTCTGGCTTTTTTTTTTTTTTTTGAGACAGGGTCTCAATGCTAGGCTGAAACTCCCAGAGATCTACCCTACACTGCCTCTCCAGTGCTCCAGAGGGTTAAAGGCATGCCCACCATGCCTGACTAAATGTAGCTTTTTATATGAGTGTAGGGATTTGAACTCTGGTCCTCAAAGCATCTAGTTTTAAAGTAAGAACCCCTCTGACCAGGAGGCACCTGTGTGTCCCTTGTCCTGATTACTGACAATGTTGTGTAAATGGAATTCTTAATTGGTCTAGACAATAAAAACCTGGAGTTGGATATAGAGAAAAATGCTGAGAGATCAGAGAGAAGGAACAAGCCACTGGCACACTTTACCTCCTTAGCATCTCAGCAGACAAGAGACAGTGCCTGTTTCTTCCTGCTTATATCCTGTTTCTGCCCAGCTACCTCACTTCCTGTCTGTCTGTACAGACCTCCAGACCTCTATGGTTAGCTAGTGCCAAGCTCCATTCTCTGACCTTCAGACAGGCTTTATTTGTACAAGCAAGGTATCACCACAATGTCATGTGGTTAGATGGTGTGAGGACTGCTGGGGTGTCTGGTGTGGAGAGTCCAGCTTTAACAGGACACAGGGCCCTGCTCAGGCACCTTCACCAGCTTCATCAGGGCATGGAGTTCTGACTGGTCACTTGGACCAGCTCTATCTGGCCGTTAGTGTCTCAGTTCCCTGCTTTGGGGTGGTGTGGGGAGCCTGCCCACAGTGTGGTGGTGGGTGCATCCTGAGTTTAGTAAGCATCTTTCTCTGTTTGCTTCCTTCCAGGGCGGGAGCAGTTCCATGGCCTGGGCTCCATGTACTGCCGAGGGGCGGCTGCTGTCATCCTGACTTATGATGTGAACCACCCTCAGAGCCTGTTGGAGCTGGAGGACAGGTTTCTGGGCCTGACAGAAACAGCCAACAACGACTGTTTGTTTGCCATTGTGGGAAACAAAGTGGACCTGGCCATGGATCGGGCCATGGAGATCAGGGAGAAAAGAGAGGCCTCTGGGAAGCTGGGCAGCTGTGTCTCTTCCAAGGTACCCAGGCAGGTGCAGCTAGAGGATGCCATGGCCCTTTACAAGAAGATCCTGAAGCACAAGATGCTAGATGAGAGGGAGATGCCAGCCGCTGAGCAGATGTGCTTTGAGACCAGCGCCAAAACCGGGTACAACGTGGACCTCCTGTTTGAGACCTTGTTTGACCTGGTGGTGCCCATGATTGCCCGGCAAAGGGCTGAGGAGCCATCCCAGATTGTGGATATAACCAGCTGCAAAACACCCAAAAGGACTAAATCTGGGTGCTGCACCTGATGGCTGAGGTCTCTCTCCTGTCACCTGGCGTGTGTGGGAGCTCCAGGCTCAGAAGTTTCACAGAACACTGTGTATAGAGGGCACCTACCTCTGTGTATCAGGAGGTGGTACCAAAACCCTCTGCAGAGCCAGACTGGTGTTGCCTTGTCTACTGCCTTGTGTAGCAACCACCATCGTGGAGCCTGCAGTCTAGGGACCTGCCCTGGAGTGGGCTTGACTCTCATGGTCCCTGGTCACTACATCCTGCACTGTGTCTGTTGTCTGTGATTTCCTGTTTGATACCTGTACCTGATGCATTAGTGTGCTAATTCGTTTAATTTATACGAAATCAGAAATGGCTGTTTTTATACTGGGTGAAGCTGGGTGGGCTATGTGTTATTAAAAAGGATCTGAGGAAAAGCCCTGTTATCAGAAGTAGTTAGCTTTATTTGAGCCCCAGGAAGATTCCTTGATTCTGGGAGTGGGAGTGGTGGCCATGAACCTGTCATTGAACTATGACAGTGAGTCTCTCTCTTTAAAGTTTTGTTTAGTCCTTACAGATTCTAGGATATTTGGATGAGCCTTTTACCAGGCTGTCTGGATGGCTTGAATTGTAGTCATGGCTACACTCACAGCGTTGATCCTGACCTGGTCTGGAGCCCCCTCTACCCCCCTGTCTCATTCCAAGTCAAAATCCCTTTGTGGTTTTCCTGTGGGTGGTGCGGTGGCTGCTCTGTAAGAAGCTGACAGGCAAATGTGGAGGACAATAGCGCCTGTGTTCTTAGAAATTTTGTTGAGAGCAAGCAGGCAGGAACTGGGGTTCCATGAGGCGTGGAGGCCAGCCAGTCGTCAGATCTGTGGGTGGGTTTTGCTAACTAATGCTGCTGAAAGCCTATGTCTTGGTTGGCCAGGCTGCTGCAGTCTGAGTGGCCTTCCCCGCAAAGCCTGCATCTTTCAGCTGAGAGTCAGTGCTGCCATCGAGTTGGGATAGAGCATGATGACCAAGGCTTCCTCCTTTTGAAGTGGATCCCAGAGGCCCCCTCCCCACTACTTCAGTTTCACAAGAGCTTGTTAAAAACCGAAAGCCCTTGAGTTTGCTTTGCTATAGAGTGTCTGAAGCACCCCAAGAGGGCAGATGCTGTACTTCCTGTCCACAGGCTGTCTCTTGGCCGATGACATCTGGGAAGTGTGTGACTCAGAGACCCTGGGGTTATTCTTTGACACTTCAGAGTGAAACTGTTGTCACATGACATGGTTTCTGCAGTTCGTGATTGAGGTCCTGGATGGGCAGGTAAATTGCCACGAGCCATTCTTCCCAGCCTTCTCTGAATTGAGTCCCAGCTGCTGTTTCCTTCAATGTCCTCAAGTCCAGGGGCTAGTCTAGGGCATTCAGGGACAGAATGACAGTTCCACTTGAGTGTGCTGCCTGTATCTGTTGTTTTAGAAGTAAAAGTAGCAGTGGACTCTTCACTGTCCTGCTCTAGAACTTTGCTGGCCCCACGTGGCTTGGGTGAGGGACAGTTAATTCATCTTAGCAGCCTGTATGCCCTCCCTCACCTCCCTACTTCCCTGGTGGTGTCCTTTCAGGAAAAATGAAATGACACAAAGTCTTGAACTGAGCCCCAGCACCCTGTTTTGAGAGCAGTGTTTCTTGGAGACTGTGCATCAGCCTTGGTCCCTCTATGGGGAACCAAGTATCTACTTGGTTCTACTTATGGAGCCACAGGGCTTGAGTTTCTTTAGGAAGCCACCAGTTCTGTGAGTCCTCACTGGGTGACTTGCCTTTGTGCACAGTGTGGATGGTGGCAGGATGTGGAAGGGGGTCTGAGTACATGCCCACTAAGCACTCTTCTTGCTCCAGTCTGAATGTGATAGCCCCAGGGGCCAAGCACATGGGCTACTATCAGGGGACCTTAGAAACCAGCTGTAGGACATTTCACTCAGCTGCCACGGTGTCCTCAAACAGAGGGACAGCTCTAGATGTTTCTCGCTGCCTGTGAACTTGGCCATGGTGGCAGGCAAGTTTGGCTTCTGCCTAACCTGATCTCCCATTTCCTCAGGCCCTGGGACCAGCATAATTGCCCTGTCTGCCTAGTGTGGGAAGAGCTGGTGACTGACAGGAAATAGTCTCAGGTCAGGGGCCGGTTCCCACTATGTACGGAAGCTCTAGAGACAGAGGGGAGAGGGAGGGTAATAGCACTGAGTATGTCAACAGTTCTTTGTTATTCCCAACTGTGCAGAGCCACCACTGGAGAGATGACCACAGATCTGAGACCCAGGGAACAAGAGACCTTAGCTGGGCATGGGGTCCCCTCTCTAGGCATTTGTGCCTCTTGAAGGCACGTTGGCTCCAGGCAGAGGCAGGGTGGTCCTGGTGACATGTCCCGCCCTTGGCTGGTGTTACTGCTCTTCAAACTTCCACAGCATGCAACCCTTTGTTCATCCTACACTGGTCCTCCTGGGCCTTACAATCAGCTCCAGGCAGAGTGTGCAGAGCACACCATCACACAAAAGTCCCTTGATGCTTGTTGTGAATGTTTGTGGGCCCAGGCTCCCCGTCAAGCCACTGACATATCTGCAGGTGGCTCTGTGTGACTCAGTTTACTGTATCCAGAACCCACTGCCTTGCCCTTCAGAGGAAGTCCTGGAAGCATGTTTGTCCTTAGGTGAGGACTGGATGTTCACAGATTGCAAAGGGCCTCTTTGGTAGCTAGATTGAGCCTGGTCTGGTCCTAAACTAAACACTCCTTTGCACCCTGATCTCCTTGGACTGAAGGGGAGGCGGTGCAGTTGAGGGATGCAATTGATCTGCAGGTTGTAGGCTGCACTCTGGTGGCTGGAGTTGTTTATGACCCATGAATGCCAAGTGTTTCTCCAGACAATTCAGCAGCCCTTGTTTCTTGATTTATGTCTCAATCAGTTTTTCCCTGTGGGGAGTCATAGAGGCTTGGAAATCTATGTGGGTAACTGCATTTGTTGACCCATAAGCCCTGGTAGAGCTCATCCTGGAAGAAGAGAGGTATGAAAGCCCTAGGGTTCCTCAGCAACCCCCCCCCCCAGATGTAGAATGAGGGCTAAGCTATCACAAGGCAATAGGACAACCATGTCCCACTACAGAGGCCAGGTCTGTCTCTCAGAGGAACAAATGGCTCTGTAGGAATTACTGCAATGCTAGGGCTACTTAATGTCACCACCATACCCAAACCAACCAAACTGTCTCCACCCCATCTATTCCTTGTTCTTGAACTTTGGCCATGCAAAGGACACACAGAACATATCCTGTCACTCCTGCATCTGGCAGAAGTTTATCTGCAGGAGGTGTTGGGGCAGGAGACTATCAGGGTACATTTGGAGCCACGGAGGACATGTGCTCTCTCTGTGTCCCTGTGTGGCTTTGCCATGGGGCCTCCTGTTCTTGCATTCCATCCTCCCAAAGAACACTATGTTAGCTACTTTCCTATTGCTATGATAAAACACCATCACTAGGGTGACTTACAAAAGGAAGCATTTAATTTGACTCATAGCTTCAGAGGGTCAGAGGGACATAGTCCATGATGGTGGTATGAAAGAACAGCCAAGAGCTCACATCTTAATCCACAACCACACACACACACACACACACACACACACACACACACACACAGAGAGAGAGAGAGAGAGAGAGAGAGAGAGAGAGAGAGAGAGGACCAAATATCCCATGAGTCTTTGGAAACCTTGAAGCCTGCTCCCAGGGGCACATCTCCTTCAACAAGGCCACATCCTAGGTACATTCCAGAGCCACCAATGGCTTATGTCCTGGAGAGTGTGCCTTTTAAATGCTGACAGTGGAGTTGGAAACCATTCTGGGACTAATGAATGACCTTGGTAATGTCCTTGAGGTGTCCAGCCCCCTCACTCTGACATGTGAGTGATTCCCAAAATATTTGTTGAGAAATGAGAGATACAATACAGACGGGAGATCAAATCCTCCAAAGTACAGAAAACTGCAGCTTGTTCCCACTGAGACACACACATGCAAAGACAGGTGGATCTCTGGGTTTGCCAGCTAGCCAGCCAGCCTAATTGGCAAAATTCCAGACCAGTGAGAGATCCTGTCTAAAAAAAAAAAAAAAAAGGGTGGGTGGCACCTGAGGAATGATGTCTAGGGTGTACTCTGGCCTTTATACACAAGAACACCTCTCCCCCTCCCTTTCTCTTTCCTTCCCCCTCCCCCCCTACACGTACACAAGCATGCATACATGCATGTGCCACAAAGCAGTCAAATACTTGGAATATCTTTATTTTATCTTTATTTGTGGTGTTACACAGGAAAGGCATAGAACAGCTTGCTGTAGGGAACGAGGTGGGGGCAGTTTAAGGTGGCACAGGTTGTGGGACACCACTGTGAATGACTTGCTAAGTGTACCTTCCAGCAGATGCTGGTGAGGGCTAGCGAGACCTCTCCCTCCCTGTGGGTTTGGCTAGAGCCAGAACCACATGCCACTGTCAGGGTCTTAAAAAGGCAGGTGTCACCGTGTGGGATCTTGGGAGGTAGCAGCTACGGATTTGGTAGAAAATGATACTGCCATCCCCTCCGCCAAGGAAACAGGCCTAGATAGAGTGCATTGAAGGGATCCTTGGGTGGAAAGAGAGGGCAGTGAGCCTCGGCTGTCATTGGCCAGCTCCCTTTGCTGTCCTGCAGAGTCGGCCTCATTCTAGGACAAGAGTGAAGTACAGTGAGCTGCCTGGAGACAGTGGAAACACAGGGACACACAGACAGTTACTGTTGGCTACTCCTGGTGGCACGATGTCCATGTTCCACACGGTGAGGGTCCATGGGCTGCTCCCAGATGTTAACAGGGCTGAGACCCACGGGCAGTAGAGCCCGGAGGAACCCGTGCCCACTTGCTGACAGGCAGTTAGTGTGAGTGCGGGTGCAGGGCTGCTTTGGTAGTTTTTTTTTTTTTTTTTTTTCTTTTAAGAAAATACTAAGATCAACTTTGGGGTCAGCCTCTGAGGTAATAAGTTAAGAGTAAGCACCAAGCTGGGTGTGGTGGCACATGCCTGTAATCCCAGCATTTGGGAAGCTGAGGCAGGAGGTTTGCCACAGGGTGTGGGGGGGTGCAGCCTGGGTTACATAGGTCCAGGCCAGACTGGGATGAAAAGTAAGACACTGTCTCAAACAAAAATGGAACAAATACATAAGAGAATGAGCACCAAAGAGGTCTTCCCACACGGCTGCTGGCGGGCAGGGTGGACGGCCTATAGGTTCTTCATGCACACTTGGCAGCGGCTAATATGTGTGCGGATGAGGCCGGCCTTGAGTGTGTCGGCAGATGGCGTGCCCTGGAAGCTCTGCTCAGGGATTGTGGTCAGCCAAAAGCTGTACTTGTTAGCGAAGTAGTGGCAGGTTCCACGGCCTCCGTTACATTCGATGAAGGGTGTTGCACGGAAGTCCTCCAGACAGCTACCGGGCGACACCAGCGACTGGCCGCCGCCTTCGTCCCCAGCTGCGGTGTGCTGTGTGGACAGCAGGACATAGAATGTGTTAGGGGCTACCCAAAGGAAACCCCCAGGACCTCTACTGAGTGTGTTATTTATACACTTTAAGGCAGAAACTCATTATGTCCTGGACTCAAATGATTGCTCCCCGCCTTGTGTCCCAAGTAGATCACACCAAGAGCAGGTACTACCACTCCTCATTTTTACAGGCTCTCATGTCTCCCACACTGGCTTCAAACTCTCTGCATAGCAGAGGGTGACCTTGAATTCTTGCTCCTCCTGCCTCCACTTCCTGAGTGTGAGGCTTACAGGTAGGGGCTCCTGTGCCAGCTTGTTTGGTGCTGGAGCTAAAGTTCAGGGCTTCGTGCATGGCAGTCAAGTACTCTACCAACCTTCGTCCTGTTTGTTCATTAAGTCAATAACAGGGCTATCTGTCGACACAGACCTGGGGGACAGTGTTCTGCCATCGGGTGCTGAGGGGTGCTGAGGGACCTGGACCTCCTGCACAAACACATGTGGCATAAACCTCAGCACCCAGGACTGGTTGTTTAGTGAAAGCTGCAACCAGGAAGTAGGTACAATCTGTAGATATGGCTGACTACGTCTTGGTTAAACAAAATGTAAAAGGCTATCAATTATCCATTCAAAATGCCCAGGAGTTAAAACAAACAAACAAACAAAAAACAGGCCGGGCCTTTAATCCCAGCACTTGGGAGGCAGAAGCAGGTGGATCTTTGTGAGTTTGAGGCCAGCCTGGTCCACAGAGTGAGTTTTAGCACAACTTCCAAAGCAATACAGAGAAACCCTGTCTTGAAAAAAACCAAAAACCAAACCAAACCAAAACAAGATGACAAACAGCTCATATTTGTAAGCTGAGGCAGGAGGATTGCCAAGAATTCAAGGTTAGGTTGGGCTACAGAGTGGGACTCTTTTTAAAAAGCCCAAACTAAAACAACAAAGAAAATGAACACATGGAGAGAACACAGCAGGACCAGCCAAGTTCGGGCTCTGAGTGCAAGGGAGACCTGCAGGGTTCCCATGGGTGGATGCATTTGAGACCAGACAGTGTGTACTGTGTAGGGTGCCCTGCATTCCAGAAAGATCCAATACAAGGGTTTTGACACTTAGGGTAGAATTCTTCTGTTGACTAACTGCAGCAAATCAGAAAGTGCTGATTTAGGTGCGAAGAAGACAAACTGCATTGCGTGCAAAACCCCGTGAGAAATTAATATTTACACTGAACAAGGAAAGTCCCTTCCTTGCTTGGCACATGGCTAGGTTAGCCCCCATCAAGCTGAATTATAGTCCTCAACTCCTGTTCCTGGTGTCCTTGTACGACACCACTTAAGCAAGTGCCCCATATGATGTGTGTGTTTATATGGAGGTCACAGGCTTAAATTGGGTATTTTTCAATTGGTTTCTATTGCATATTTTGAGAAGCAGTAATCTCCTTGAATCTGGTGCTTTTGGCTAGTCTGGCCAACAAGAGAGTTCCTGGGATCCTACTGTCTGTCTCCCAGCAATGAGGTTGCAGGCTGTATCTCTATCTCACTGGCATTTACATGGGTGGGAGATCCAAACTTTACCCACTGAGCTCAAATCTGCAGCCCTGATTTATTCTTCCTGTGTTCCAGCAAGGGTGGAGATGGGGAAAGTTCCATGTTCAGAGAATGGAAAAGCACTACGTACCATGAGGAAGGAATATCCAATCCACAAGCTCCGCCACCCAGCTGGGCAGTGGGGTATAGAGACATCTTGGCTGTGGACAGCAATGGCCACAGCTGGGGCCTCACACACAGAGCAGCGGCTGATGTAGGGCTTGATTTCTTCCTCAGCCACAGGCATCATGGGCAATGGGGCAGTGGTGGAGAGCCAGTAGGATTTGTCATTGCGGCTGGCGTAGTAGCAGACGTCACCCGGATTGCAGTACAGAAACGGCATAGTGCTGAAGCGTGCCAGACAGGAGCCTGCCAGACCTGTGTGAGGAGCACATGAGAATATAGTCCTGCCTCCACCTCCATGCTGCCACTAGGCACAAAGTCGGACTCCGACTCTGGCCAAGGCGCTCTCCTCTCTCCAGTTCAGCAGGTGCTACCTTTCAGTCAGACAGGGTCCACCCTCAGCAAATCAGCAGGGTTTGAGCCCTGCCCTTATGCTCCTGTTCCCACTGCTATCCTTGTTTGTCTTTTCTCCATTGCATCGTAAAACTTACTATGGGGATGGGGCCACAGACAGGAATGTTCACACTGCTGGGGTCTGGTTGGTACACTTCCAGGAGCTGATGGCCCTGGTGTCACCAACATGATACACAGCACACTCCAGTCTTTCACATGTACTTTGGCCCTCTGAGAGATGGTGGGCAGACAAGCCTACCCACTCTGACATTGTGTGTTTTGTATTTTTTAACTCATGCCCTTTAAAGGCACACGCATGATGAGCACGCCTGTGTTTTGTGAGCATCTGTGTGGAAGGATTGGTGTAAGTCCACCCCCTCACATCTCTGTCTGGCTCCAACTTATGTTCTAGGTTTGGGGGAAAAAAGCAAGAGAATTGTGAAGCAGCTGGAGCCTCCAACAGAGAAAGCAGTGCTTGGCTAGATCTACTTGTGAGGTGTGGATGCTATGTCAAATTAAAAGGTCCTATGTCAGGGACCTGAGGCTGAGGGCATGGTAAGACTTCAGTCTCCATGGCCATCTCAACCTCAGCACAGAAGGTGGTGGGCCATGTGGCTGGGAGAAGCTCATCTTGGGGGCTTACAATCTCACCATGACCACCATCAAGCCGGGGAACAGAGTTGAGGCCTGATGGCAGCACCTACCTAGGTCCTGGTTGTGGGCTTTCTCCTGGCCCTCGAAGTACAGCAGGCTGTACCCACTCCAGAGCTTGTTCATGCCCACAGGACACATGGGTTCCTGGTCTGTCTGGCTGTGTTTCACCAGGAGGTAGCCGATGCTGACGCTGCGTCCCGGCATCCCTGGCAGGCCTGGGCTCCCTGGACGGCCTGGCTCCCCTAGGATCCGAGAGAAAGTGGCTGCTATTCAACTGCCTGTTTCTCAGGTCATTTATAGGATACCTGCTCTTCTTTCTCCCCAAAGCTTGGGGCTCAGACAACTTAGACCAAAAGCTCCAGGAAAGACCTAAATCAGCCCAGGAAGCTAATAGGACAATAATGGTGGCACCAAATATGAACAGAAAAGACTGCAAAACACAGTGGCTACAGGGACACTCCTCCAGGGAGAGCTGGGTGCATAACAGACCTGGGGCACCTGGGACTGAGAGGTATCAGAGGACTGTCAGTGCCCCCTGCCACCACCCCTGCAACTAGGCCTCTTCCTCCTGGGATGGCCACTTCTCAGACCAGCAGCTCGGGCAAGCTAGGGTCAGCATAGAATGCTCTTCAGGAAGTGTGACACCCACCTGATGTGACTACTGCTGAGGGCCTAGGCTCTACCCAGGGGGCTGAGAGCATCTTGTCCTGCAATCAGCAGTCACCGGGGCCCTGTTACTCAGCATTGTCCCTGAGATCATCTAGGTTTGCTTCTTAGGACTCTGTTCCCCATGGCAGTCTCCTGCCGAGGACTAACTCTGATTTGCCCCTGCTGCAGGATGTGTTTCTCCGTGGCTGCCCACAGGTGCCATCCACTACAGAGTACTCCTTGGTGGGCTACTGTCTTTTGACTGATACTGGTGACATCCCTTGTGCTTTGTTTTTATCATAGCTGCCACTGCTGCTCAGGCCAAGCTTGAATTGATTAAAACAATTTTCTTGGGGGGGCATAAAATTGCCTTTACTTCTGTCCCATATAAAAATACTTTTAAGAAATGATGCAGGTCTTTATAGAACCCAGGACATGCTTGGATTGAAGCTACAGTTGGGTTTGGAAGCTTTTGTCCCAGCTCTGCCAGGTACCTGTCTGCTCCTCACCTGTAGACTGGTCAGGGTGTCCCTACCCTCAACAAAACTTCTGTCCTATCAGACACCCAATCACGTACCTTCCTGGCCAATTGGGCCCTGTTGTCCCATGGGCCCTTGGTCTCCCCGGAACCCTGGAACAGCAGACACGCCTCCTCTGCCCTGGGGCCCAGTCTTGCCTGGAGCCCCACGGAAACCTGTAAGACATCAGATAAGTGAGTGCTACTGTGCTTAGCCAGCAGAAGAGGACAGAGGTGGGTATAGAGCAGATGGGACAGGGGGCCTTTTCTCAGGATGGGGAGGCACAGGGACCCTGCCCAGAGCCATACCTGGATCTCCAGGAGGGCCCTGAGGTCCCATCTCTCCCTGTGCACCGGGAAGGCCTCTCCTGCCCTGGGGACCCATGGTCCCAGGTTGGATGGCAATCTTCTGGGGGATGCCTGGAATGCCTGGGGATCCCACGGAGCCAGGAGCACCTGCAAGGCAACGAGAAGCCGTGTCAGGAACAGGGAATTGTCTCACTTTTCCACTTTGGCCTTACCTGCTGCTTCTCACACTGAAGCCCACCCTGATGGCACACAGTAACACATGTGCCAGATGGCACACAGTAACACACATGCCAGATGGCACACAATAACACACGTGAAAGGTCCCCTCACACTGACCACTCAACACTCACCTTCCACCAAGGCCCTGGGAGCATTGGTGGCCCGCCTGACTTCTCTCCGCCCTTTAGAGGATGGGGCAAATGCCAGCGAGGGACAGGTTGGAGCCCTCACCTCACAGGCTCTGCAGGCACCACTCACCTGGGAATCCTTGGTCTCCTTTGGGTCCTTTGGGGCCTCTGTCACCCACAGCCCCAGAGGGCCCAGTGTTGCCCATGAATCCTTGCTCACCCTTGGGCCCTGCAACGAAGACATGACAGTCAGGACCAATGCACAGAATAGAGTCTGCAGTCCCCTGCTCAAAGCATGCCCCTTCATGTGGACACTGTTACCTTTCTCTCCTGGAAGACCAACTACACCGGGCTGGCCCTGGAGCCCTGGGTCCCCAACCCATCCTTTCTGTCCAGGGAATCCTGCAGCTCCTACGCTCCCCTCGTCTCCTTTGATTCCAGGAAGTGCGTTTGGCCCAGGTGGTCCTGGAGGGCCTCGGTAGCCTGAGGGCATAAGTCACAGTTGGAAAGGTTACATATGGGTCGGAGAGCTGGGTCAAGGACTCACGACTTGCTATGGAGGTTCTGGTATTATACCCAGTCATTGTTCTGGAAGCCAGCTTTGGGAGAGCTGGTAACAGCAACAGTAGCTCATATTTAAAAACGAAACAAAACCAGTAACAAACAAGTAACATAAAAACTACCATTTCAAAGTTTTAATGGGCACATCCTAGGCTTACCTAAATCACACCCCAGCCCCAGAGGGTCTCACCATCCTTGATGAACTCTGTCCTCACTAAACTGTAACCCTTCACACCCTCCTTTACCCAGGAAACCCTATTCTCTCTGCCTTGGGGATGTGATGGCTCTAGGGTCCTTCTATACATGGAGCCATGTGATATTTATTCTTTGTGACTGAGAACATCCACCCTCATCGCTGTCATAGTGTGCATGTCAGAAATTCCATCCTTTTAGAGGTTGGTTATCAACCGTAATACATAGACTTCATGTTGCTTATCTTTTATCTTTTACCAATGGTCACTTGGACTGCCTCTATCTCCTGTCTGTTTCAATGTCTATAAGAACACTGATGTTCAAATAATTGTTACTCTATAGCTTCATCTTTACACCGTCTCCTCTCCCCCTCACTTTTGTTTTTCACATATGGCCTCTCTGTGCATTTCAAGCTGGCCTGAACTTGCTTGTATTCCAGATGTGCTTGCCTCCCCCAAGTGCTGGGATTACATGCAGATGCTACGACACCTAGCTCCGCCTCTTTTTAATACTTAGCTAGTCCGTGGTAGATGCAGTTGGTGAATGCAAATTAAAGATACAAACACTAAATTGTGAGAAAGAAGAAAACCTTGAGCAGTTCTGAGGCCACCCAGGCAGGTACGGGGCTTATCTTGTCATGTAATGTCATGGGGACCCTGTGGTGTGGGTGACGGGTGGTGGTGGCACCCGTTCCTTTGCGTGTCTATATAGTGTGTGGAATAAAACTTCTCCCCTGGATATGTCAGCCATTATACTGGCTGCCTTACCTTCAGAGCCAAATATTCCTGGCGCCCCTACATCACCAGGTGACCCAGAGATGTTGGATAGTGGAGAGATCCCAGGGAAACCCTGAAGTCCTGGGCTTCCAGCTGGGCCACGCTCCCCTGAGGAGGAAAACAAAAGTCAATTTAGTTCCATCTGCTCACTTTCAAGAATTCCACTCTCTTCTCATGCTGTTCTCTCTAGAGGAAGCCTCACAGAGTCTGAGATGGTGTCCTCAGAACAAGGAAGATTTCAGGGAGGAAGAGGCATGTGACTGCTCAGGAGGCTGGAGGCTGACCTGTCCCACTAGCTGCTGTCAGCTACTAGACACTATGAGTCCTGAGGGCCTACTAGAGGGCATGGTTCTCGGACACTACCCCCAGAGAATATCTGTCAGAGCCTATGAGGATGTTGGGGTCCATGACCACAGCTAATCTCCCATTCAGGGACTCCAATACCAGATGCAAGGAGGGAGTGCCTGCCCTTCACCAACTGAGTGGGGCTGGAAAATGAGCCAACATTGGGGTAAAATAAGCCAGACCACAGAGCATAGTAAGAGAGATGAGCTAGGAGTTTGTGCCCATGGAGTCTCCCCAGAGGATCTTGGACACACAGCTTCCTTCATATGCCATGGGGTCTGCTCCTGGAGATGGCTACTTACCTGGGGTTCCCCGCTCCCCTTTCTGCCCTGCAGCTCCCACAGGGCCTGGAAGTGTGTTGGCTTCTCCTCGGTCACCCCTGTCTCCAGCAGGGCCTGGGAACCCGGGGTCTCCATGGACGTCAGCTCCTGCGGTAGAATTACAACAGCAGTGGTTGGCACCAAGTCCATCCCTGCAGGGGAGGTGGCCTGTCTTGTGTGGTATGACAGCCCTCATAGTGTGAAGCAGAGAAACAGGCAGTCATCACAATGTCTTCTAGCTCTAGTCTGAGCATCATGGAGTTTGAGTCTCAGAAGGGATGTCACAGAGAACATGGTAGAACCTTCTCTCAATGGACAGAAGACCTTGGCCTTAACAGAGTCTGAGGTCATAGCAGCAGCTGGCCATGTTTGGGGACTGCATCCTAGGTCTCCTGATTCTGGTGGCTGCTCTCACGCTCTGCCTTTATTGGGTTTTGAAAATTTGACCTTATTTAAAATATTTCCTGTTTATATGTCAGGTGCTCAGTCAAAGCAAACTAAACAACAATATAGTCTCACAATAATTGTCACAGCCTCTCCATGACTGCCACAGGCTCACCAAGATTGCTGTCATTTGCCTGTTGAAACTGGAGCCCAACTGTTAATGGGAACATGAATGCATGAATTTCTCTGCAGGTAGATGAATATTTAGTAACGTAAGAATCCATAAAGTTTGGTCAAATAGCACTTATAAGATGATTTTTTTCCCTTTCTTGTTTAAATGAATTTTAAAAATGTCCCACAGGGTGGTGGTGCACGCCTTTAACCCCTGCACTTGGGAGGCAGAGACAAGTGGATCTCTGTGAGTTTGAGGCCAGCCTGGTTTCCAGAGTGAGTGTAGGACAGCTAGGGATTCACAGAGAAACCCTGTCTCAAAGAAAGAAAAAACAAACCACCCCTCAAACCACACCAAAACAACAAAATTCCCCACTGAACTTGATGATTTTTATAAAGTCACCACTGGATACCTGGGGATCCGGGGAAGCCTTTGGTGCCTGGCAGGCCGTGTAATCCGCTGATCCCCCGGATTCCTGGAAAACCTGTGGGAAATGAATGATCATTAGTCACACCATGTAGGACAGCAGAAGGCTCTGGCTGGGGGCAGTCCCAGGACAATGCTAACATGCTTTGCTTTGCGCTCTCGAGTGTCACTGACCTTTATGTGACATGCAACCTGTCACTCTTATGTGATCCACAAACCTATGTGTAAACATTTTTCAGAACACTTTAGGACTTTTAGAGCTAGAAGGGGACAAAGAGGCGCTATTTCTGAGACACCTGTCATTATATATATGATTAATAAATGTATAAAAGCTGTGCCTGGGTCAATGAGAAGGCTCAGTGGGTAAGGGTGCTTGCTTCCATGACTGGCAAACCGCGTTCAGTCCCTACATGGAAGTAGGGAACTACTCACTCCTGCAAGCTATCTATCCTTTGACCTCCCCTACATGCATCTTGGCAGACCCTGCTCCAGATCACCTGTGTGCACACACAATAAATGTAATTTTAAAAACACGAAGCTTTGCTTGGAGCAGAGAGCCTGGTGTTATTTCCATTCTCTCTATTTCTGAGCTTAAGCATTTCTAGAGACACAGATGACCCCTGGGATTGGGTGTGATCACATGGGCCCAGGGTTTTGTGTCAAGGTCTTGCAACCTTTTACACGGGCATATGGTAGCCAGCAACAGAACATGAGGACACTTGTGTATGTCCTTCTGAACCTTCTTATGTCCTGTGTAGAGTGACTAAAGAAGGGTCAGAGACATCCCTGGAAGCTTCAGGTCACTTTTCTATAAGCATGACCCCTCATTGCTAAAGAGTTTTTCTGGCTTCTGGCCAGTAGATTCTACAACTGCAAAACCTGCACTATGACCATAGTCAGCCCCTGAGGTACCTGCCCCTGGATACCCACAGGGTTCAGTGATAGCAGGCTACAGAGAGGTTCCTAACCTTGCAATCTGGCAAGTTGGCCCTGAGCATTGGTGGCCACCTGTCTCACTTCCTGGAAAGAGATTTCCTTACCTGGTAACCCTGATACCCCTGGCCAGCCGTAATCTCCCTTGTCACCGGGTACTCCGCTCCTTCCCGGGTCTCCCTGTGGCCCTTGCAGGCCTGTGAGCCCTGGAAAACCTGTGTGGAAATGTGCAGGTAAGTCTGAACATGTGGGCCAGGCTCTGTGGAAACTCCTACAAGGTCCTAACTGGCCCCGTACCTTCCCCATTACTAAGGGCTCCCATAGCCCACATAGCATTGCTATGTATTTCTGGTCTTCAGACAGAGCGAGTCAAGTGGCCAGTCTCCTGGACCTAAGTGATTGCTGTGGAGGAGGAAATGACAGAGGTGGCTGGCTGCTTGCTCCTGGTCTCAGGAGGCCACACCCCTGGGCAGGGTATGGTTACATTCTCACCTGTCTGTCCTTTAAGTCCAGGAGAGCCCTGGGGTCCAGCCATGCCTGTTATCCCGGGAAATCCAACTTCACCCTCAGTTCCTTTCTCTCCCAAGATTCCCTTGAGACCTGGAATCAGAGATTTGTTGTGTGGAGTGTTCTTTCTACAAATGGTGACACATGCTGACATGTGTGGCTACATCTGCTACCTCCCCGACATGGGGCCCATTTTTGGCTGCAGTCACAACTGGAGATGATGGGAGGAGAGCTCTTGAGTCTGTCCTCCAATACAGTAAATAGTTCAGACTTATTCATGCACAGTGGCTTTGAAGGTCCCATCATTTTCTGTAGTCTCTTAGGACAACACTCAGCAAGCCAGGCTAAGAGACAATGCTCTGGGCTGTTGGTGATGGAAGAAACAACATAACTCCTATACCTGGAATTCCAGTGACTCCTCGTTCCCCCTTCAGGCCCGGGCTTCCTGGTAAGTCCACAGTATCCCCAATATCACCTGTGACACACAGGAAGATGATGACTCTAAGTAATTAGCTTTGGACTGTCTACTGTGCAGTCTGGCTCCAAATGCCCAGCAGCACCCCCAGACCTGATGGCACCTCACATTGCCAGGAGCTAAGCTCTGGCCTCCCTGCTTCCACTGCACCAGTGACACTTACCAAAGTCCCCAGTAAGGCCAATCTCGCCAAAAAGCCCTGCTCTTCCTGGAGCACCCTTTTCTCCCTAAGACAAAATCGAGCAGAAATAAAATTGAGGTTTCATGTACTGAAAATCCAGGGACAATGGTGGCTGGTGAGCCCTCAGGTTGCCGCTGATAGGCACAGGGAACCTTGTCCTTGTATTGGCTCATGGCTTTTAGAACAGCCTTTGCTGCTTCCAAATTGTGGCTTGATCCCAGAGCAGAGGAGGGGAGTGGATCTTATAGGACAAGCAGAGCAGAGGCACCTACTCACCCGGCTTCCTATGAATCCTGGGAACCCGGTAATTCCAGGAGTACCAACCACCCCTGGCTGTCCTGGCAAGCCCGGTGTGCCAGGGACTCCGATGTCACCCTTGACTCCTTTGATGTAGCCGGGCCTCCCGGGTAGCCCAGGGATCCCAGCCAGCCCTGGGACCCCTGGCATTCCTTGGATACCTGTAGGGAGAGCAGTAAGGCCTGGTGAGGGCAGGACCCTTCTCCTTATGCCGGCATCTGCACTCTGGGCACGTTTCCCAGTGTCCAGAGCCACAAACCACAACTCAGAAAAGGGGCATGGCTCTGGTAGCAAGAACACCCCAACTATGAGTGAGGAGATAGGGAGACTTATAGCACAAAATAAGCCAGGCACAGTGCATGGCTGGCCTGGAGTCAAGGCAGGGAGGGCTGGGGCAGGGGCATAGGGAGCTGGCCCCAGTTGTATGGTGCCTCACCTTTCAAGCCCAGGTAGCCCTTCAGGCCCATCGGCCCTTCATCTCCTTTTTCTCCTTTAATGTCCTTCATCCCTGGCAGGATGACAGGAGGTGGTCCTGGGGGGCCCCGGTCCCCTCGATTTCCTGGAAGGAAACAATTCTGTCATTTCCCAGGACTCCCGATTGCGAGGGAATCAGACACTAAACTGGTCTTGTCCTCAGAGCTCTGCTATTGAGCACTGGGATGGGCATTCGGGGGTAGGATGGGGGTGGGACATGACCACAGCCCTGGGAGGCTGTAGGAACCACTGCAAGGGAGGAACACTGCAGAGTACAGGACAGCTGCATTTCAAATTTAACTTCATTTTAGTTTTTAGCCCTTTGTTCTGCTTTGTTTTGTGATAAGGCTTCACATAGTTACATAGTCTAGGCTGCCCTATATTACTGTACATTGATCCTATCATGTCCTGGGGTTACAAGCATGCCCAGTTCTAAATCAACTTTAAATGATCAAGTTTTGTTCCACATTCTGAAATATTTAAGTTAGCATGAAATTTATAAAATAAACAAAACAAAAACAAAAACAAAAAAAACCAAATTTGGGTTAAAATCTTGGCAGAACTATTTTGCTAAAGATCCCTTAAAATTGTAATTTACAGCTAGGTGCCTGCTATTCCAGTTATAGGAAGGCTGAGGTGGAAAATTTGAACCTGGGAGTTCAAGACCAGTCTAGGCAACATATTAAGAGTCTATTTCAAGAAAGCAAAAGGAAGAGCTGGAGAGATGGCTCAGAGGTTAAGAGCACTGTCTGCTCTTCCAGAGGTCCTGAGTTCAATTCCCAGCAACCACATGATGGCTCACAACCATCTGTAATGAGATCTGTTGCCTTTTTCTGGCTTGCATGCAGGCAGAACACTATTCGAAATAAACAAATTTTAAAGAAAAGAAAAAGAAATACTAAAATGAACAAACAAGCCCAGTTCTTTGGGATCTCTCTCTCTCTCTCTCTCTCTCTCTCTCTCTCTCTCTCGCTCTCTCCCCCTCCCCCCGCCATGAGATTCAGTACTGATCATTGTGTGCAGTAGGCAAGTACATGACTGAGCTGTAGCCAAGACTGTTTTTATGGTCATTGTTTTAAGGCAAGGTCTTGTTGTGTAGCCCTGGCTGGTCCACATTCCTATGTAGACAAGGCTGTCCTCCAATTCACAGGAGCCCATCTCTACCTCTGTGCCTTTTCTTTGTTTCTTGTTTTTCTTTTCCATCTTTTTTTTTAAAGCATTCTTGTAGATGTAAGATTTATATACCATGCAACTCACTGTTTTTTTTTTTTTTTCTCTTTGGCTTTTGGAGGCTGTCCTGGAACTAGCTCTTGTAGACCAGGCTGGTCTCAAACTCACAGAGATCCCCCTGCCTCTGCCTCCCAAGTGCTAGGATTAAAGGCATGCACCACCACCACCCGGCTCACTATACAGTTTTGACTGTCCTATATAGACCAGGCTAGCCTTGAATTCACAGAGGTCTACCTGCCTCTGCTTCTCAAGTGTTGGGATTTTTAATCCCAATAGTAGAGTTTAATGTTTTTTTCTTTTTTCTTTTTTCTGTGTGTATTCAGCTGTGCAGCCATCACCAAATCTAACCTTAGAACACTTTTCTCAGACACCATTAAGGCTTGTAACCATTACCAGTCGTCCTTCTGTCCCCTACCCCAGCTCTTGAAAACTGCTCATCTACTTTATCTACAGGCTTTCTTACCCTGGCCAATGTACACACACAGAACATGAGAGCTGGGACCAGGATTTACTGCTTGTTAGTTCTTGGATGTTCTGTCCTATGTCTGTGCCACATTTTATTTATCTGTGGGTGGTGGATGTTTGGGTTGCTTCCATTTCTGGTTATTATTAACAAGGCTGCTCTGAACACTTGCATGAAAATTTTTGCTCAGAGATAAGTGTAGGGGAAGCTGTAGCCACGCCTTCTTAGGGGTTGGCTACAGGAGTACCTGAGCAGGCTTGAGAGGGCGTGGTCAGAGTGAGTAGGGGGACTGCGTTTCGTTTTCGGTTTCTCTTTGCTTCTTGCTGTACAGACTGCTACCACCGGCTGGCTGGTTCGCTCTGTAAGTAAGGCTTTTCCCTATTAAATACCCTTATATTTCTACCTGACTCGGTATTGGTAATTTCCCACTATAGATAAGTTTCCAATTATTTTTTCCAAGGAGAATTTATGGGTAGTTCCCTTCCTTCTAGAGTGCTGTCCCCTCCCTCCCTCCCTTTCTTTCTTTCTTTCTTTCTTTCTTTCTTTCTTTCTTTCTTTCTTTCTTTCTTTCTTTCTTTCTTTCTTTCTTTCTTTCTTTCCCTTCCTTTTCTTTTTTTTTTTTTTTTTTTTTTTTGGAGGTAGGATCTCACTATCTCACTATGTAGCTCTGGCTGTCCCTGAACTCACTATGTAGACCAGGCTGGTCTCAAATTCACAGAGAGATCCAACTGCTTCTGCCTCCTGAGTGCCGGGATTAAAGGTATGTGCCAACATGTCTGGATGCAAGCACACTTCTCCCCACTCTTGTCATACCACCTCACACTTGCTAGGATCGAATGGGCTTTGGTGACAGTTTTGGTTCTTAACACTGCTGGGGATTTTGCACAGGATCCACTGTCAATGTGTGGAGGAGGTGGGAGGAGGTCTTGTAGGCGTGATTGGCTGTTTTCAGCTTCCAGCTTTGCATCCAGTTTCTGGATGCTGAGGCCTGAGAGAGCCCCTCCTAGAGCATGTTGCTCTAAGGTGGACTGCTGTCCCCCAAGAAGGGCCCTTCTATTGTTACTTATTTGATACTTCTGGGGATGGACTCAAGGGCTATATGCTCTGCCACTGAGCTTCACAGCAGACCCCCCTTTTTTTTTCCCTTCGAGACAGGGTTTCTCTGTGTAGCTTTGGAGCCTGTCCTGGAGCTTGCTCTGGAGAACAGGCTGGCTTCTAACTCACGGAGATCTGCCTGCCTCTGCCTCCCGAGTGCTGGGGTTAAAGGTGTACACCACCAACACTTGGCTCTCTCTTCATGTTTTTAAAAGACATTTTAATTTTTTAAAAAAATTTCTCCATTTTGTGTACATTGGTGTCTTGCCATGAGTGTTGGGTCCCCTAAAACCGGAGTTTCAGACAGTAGTGAGCTTCCATGTGGGTGCTCTTAACCACTGAGCCATCTCTCCAGCCCTGATATTTTTTTCTTGAGATAGCGTCTCACTAAGTTCTCCAGGCTGACCTGGAATTCATTCTATATCCCAGTCAGGACTGGAACTTTCAAGCCCTTGCCTGCATCCTAAGTAGACAGGGCTACAGGTGTCAGTGCCATGCCTGGCTCATTTGCTTGTTAATCAGTGTGAACTGTGCAAAACCATAGGATTCATCAGGACATTTTCATCCACACACATGTCACACTTTGATCATAGTTGTTTATCATGACACACATGTATGTGTGTATATATATATATATATATATATATATATATATATATATTCATTCTACATATGAGAGATCTTGTGATATTTGGATATTTGCCCTGCTGAGTCTGACTTATTTACCAAACACAGAGACCTCCCCATCTGAAGCCACATACCTTTAACACCTGGTTCTCCAGGCATGCCCTTCAGACCAGGCACTCCAAAGAACCCTGCTTCTCCTTTGACTCCAGGGAACCCTGGTCTTCCTTTGAGTCCCAACATGCCCTGGAAGCCATCCATTCCAGGTGACCCTCGATCGCCTTTGGAGGAAGAAGGAAAGGTTAGTAGGGACCAAGAGTTGGGACATGTCAGTCTCCTGCATCCTTGAACTGTGGCCATGTCACTCACATGAGAGGCTGATAAGTCCCTTTTCCTGAGCAGGGATTTCTGGGAAAACCACTTTCTAAGAGCCATGTAGGGCCCATCTGTATGCAGATAAGAGTGACAGAAGTCAGGTGGATGACACCATGAAGGTGGCACAGGGGAAGGGTCCCATGAGGATTTGTAATGGGCCCCACAGATGAAAGTGACCCCAGTACTGTTCCCAGCTTGGGCAGATGCCAAAGGCTGTGGGGAGGTCATCAAGGTACTTCCAGCAACTTCCACCCATGAAGGCTCACTTGCAGTTGTTTCAGTGTGTGTGATGAATTCAGTTCCAGAGGCCAGGTGTTCGATAAAGACACCATCATCCCAGGGTCTGACCCTGTTTTCAGCAGGTTTTGTCTAGAACCTTCCTTGTGTTGATAACCTTAGGGAAACCACCTTTTGGGTAAGGTGACAAACTGGCTTGCTGAGGGACAGTAAGCAGCATCAGCCAATCTCCTAGGTTCCTATGGCTTCAGGCCTCCAGTCAGCTCTGGGTACCTCTGGGATAGCTGCTTGAGTCAGAGTGTGACCTATCTCACAGCCCCAGCACAGGAAGTCCTTGCCTGACATCACATTTACCTTTTTGCCCAGGGTTGCCAGGCATCCCCGCCACTCCTTTAATTCCAGGGCTTCCGGGATGACCACGCTCGCCTGATATGCCGACATCACCTCTGTCCCCAGACAGACCTTTCATACCAACAGGGCCAGGGACACCGGGCTCACCAGGTTCACCTCTGTCTCCAGGCAAACCTGTCAGAGAGAGAGAGAGAAGCAGGATTAAAGGGCATGGGGCAACCCTTATGATGTGTTTAAGAAGATGAGTTTCCTTGGAGGAAAACAGAAAACTGTCCCGACAGAGATGAGACCTGCAGGGATAGACTTCCTAGAGAGGTCACTGTGACAAAGCTGGGGTCCACCATGAAGGGAGAGTCCAGTCTGGCTCCCCGCAGGAATAGCTCCTTGCCTCCATAAACAGAGACCCACGGTGATGGCACGGGGTGCAGCAGGACACTGCCAGCTTTGACAGGTACAAGGACCCAGGATTGGCCAAGAGCCAGAGTGTTAGCAGAGTGACTGGTGCTTCGGTGGCCCTGCTCCTTCCTGAGTCCCTGGCTCAATCCTGATTTGGAGAACTATCACTGTCCTCCCCCCACCCTATGCACTCCCTGCTGCCCAAGCTCTCTCACAGCAAGGGGCTGGTGGCCTTTAAATCCCTCCCTGACTACATTTGTCTATTTTAAATCTCCAGTGGTCCCAGCTCAGTGTCATCACCTTCTACCCTCCCAGACCTCTCCTTCAAATATGCTCCCAGCCCAGCCCTTGGGTGCTATTGACTCTGTTCTGGGTGCCCTGTTTCTTATGTGTCCTCTACCCACTCTTGTGCCACCTGCCTCCTTCTCAGTGCCAGGATCTTCCTATCTGCATAGCCTCTGAAATGTGCAGCTCCCATCCCTCCAGCCTCTGCCTGCCTTACCCTGACCAAACACAAGCTTGTTCACGAGGGAGACCATAAATCTTGGCTCATTTAGAGACTGGCTTTTTTTTCTCCTGGATCTTTATAGACCATGTGTGGAACTAGGAGCTGGTAAGCCCCTGGGAACATGTTAGCAGAAGGCCTAAACTTCCTTCTCAGCACTTGTCACTTTGTAAAGCCAGGCATCAGCGTGGCATGCAGGAGGGCTGGTTTCACCGGTGGTTCAGGCAGCAGCTTTGGATACAGACAAAGCCACATATTGGGACCCCCGAGGCTAGGGCACCAGGAAAGGCCTGGTTTGCAAGAGGGTCTGTATGCATAGCTGATTGCCTACAGGGATGGTGAGGACCTTTTGCAAAATTACTGCCCAACTGTGGCAAACCAGGAACTACAGGAGGATTAGAGATTTTTTTCCGGGTTTAGGAGTAAATATTCCACTAAGAACTTTCTCACTTGTCAGTGTATGCCACCATTAAAACCTTTATATGTAAAAAAAAAAATTCTTAATGAGCAAAACAAAAAGCTAGGAAGCCAGATCCAATGGCTTACACCTACAGTCCCAGCATTTGGGAGGCTGAGGCAGGAGAATTGCTTGAGTCCAGAAGATTGACACCAGCCTAAGCAATGTGGTTAGAGTGTGTTTCATAAAATCACAACAAAACAAACTTTTGCTGGTCCATGAGATGCAAAAGCCTTGGGCCAGCTTTGTGTTGAGTGCCCTGGGAGAGCTAACCGCTCCTGGGTCCAGAAACTCACCACAGTCTGTCAGTACCCTGTGGGCAGCTCCAACCCTGACCACTTGGGAGAGCTGTGGGTGGAGAGAGCAGCTCACCACTGTTTTGTCAGTAACCTGTGGGCATTTCCAACCCTGACCACCTTCCCTGCTGCCACTCTGAATGTCTCCTCTCCACATCAGAGCAAGGGTTTTGAACCTTTGCAGTGAAGTTTTCTGTTTTCTCTAAGGAAATCTCATATAGGCCCTTAACATACACAACAGGTGGCCAGGCTGAGCTGCCCGCTCTGGCTGCTTAAATTCTTTTTGACAAAATATAGGACCTGTTTTTGGAACCCCTTGCAGCTCTTTGCGGGGGGGGGGGGGGAGAGTTCCTTGGAAAACAGTTTGATGAATATCCAGGAAAAGACCATGTTAGCATCAGTGAGGGCTCCATGTGTTCCTGAGTGCCAGAATCTTACCTCTAAGGCCCAGGGATCCTGGCAGCCCCAAGGGCCCCTCTCGGCCAGGAGCTCCTGGGAATCCATCTTGTCCCGGGGGTCCAGGTAGTCCTGGCTGTCCTGAAGGCCCTGGGAAGCCTGGCTGACCTTTAAGCCCTGGAATTCCGGGCATCCCTTGGCTTCCTGCAGGGACCAGAGACAAGAGCTGTGAGACCATCTCTGCTTGGTTCAACATAGACAACCCCTATTTGGTCAGACTCAGTCTATAAATGTATCAACAGAAGTCAGTCAGGATGGCAGGAAGCCTTCACATTACAAGGGAGAGCTAAAGCCACAAAACACGAGAGCCACAGCGTCTTGAGTGTTTCCTTCTGTCTTTGCTCCTGTGTGAGTATTCCAGGAAAGAGAAACACACTTGGTGCTGCACTGTAAATCCTTCCTTAGCCTAGCTCTTTCAGTTTGGCAATATCAGCATTTAGCCACATTTAAAAATATTCCTGATGCCTGGGCAGATAGCTCAGTGGCTGAGATCTGGCATTGTTCTCTCAGATGACACAATTTCACTCCTGTGTCACTCCAGCTCCAGGGGATCCGATGCCCTCTTCTGGCTTCCTAGTGTACCCGCGCTCATTTGTACCCTCCCGCAGGCACACTCACATAAACATAATTCGAAATATGAAATAGATATTAAAAATGTTTTCTTGGCAAACACAGATGGCGGTGGGAATAAAGTGTCCAATCATATGGACACATGGGGTGTGTTCCATTCCCTTCCAGCAGCTGCCCTTTCTCAAGGCAGCGCTGTGAGGAAGAGTGTGGGAGTTTGGTGCACACAACACTAGCCATTCTTTTTTGGTTTTTTGAGACAGGGTTTCTCTGTGGCTTTGGAGGCTGTCCTGGAACTAGCTCTTGTAGACCAGGCTGGTCTCGAACTCACAGAGATCCACCTGCCTCTGCCTCCCAAGTGCTTCGATTACCAACGCGCGCCACCAACACCCGGCAACACCAGCCATTCTTAATGCATTGCACTGAGTTACGGCAATGACATCAATTCACTAATCTGCCAATGTCCCCCAACATTGCTCCTTACACTAAGGCTGTAGCTGCATGCTTTTGACTACTGATAGCACTTATTGCTCCCCGCCCTTGTTTTTTGGTAGCTTTATTCTTTGGACATTTTGTTGTTTTCCTTACAGATGTTAGTCCTCCTTATTAGAGGATACCAACAGTCTAAACTGCTGAATTTTCCTTTATGGACCTAAGTTCACTGTTCAAACTTTGATTTTGTTTTTAACGTGTAGACAATTAGCATGTTTGGAAATGGGATACATTTTGGCATGATGTGATATCAGGCATGTGAGTTCATGTAAGTGCATGTGTACACATGCAGTTTTTTTCTCTTGGTTGCGTTTGATCTGCTCCACCCTGCCCAGTGACTAGATACTGTAGGCATCTATTGTCTTCCGATTTCTTCTTTAACAGTTGACATCTGAACCCTTATATTTGGACATTTCCTCTTTGTTTATTGATTGACTGATTTGAGTGTACAGGGCCAGGCTGTCAAGAACTGTGTATTTAATCATTGAACCCATAGCCATGCCTCCAGATGGACAGTGGGAGGAGAGGCAGGGGACAGATGCAGAAGGGACTGGATCGAAGTCAGGCATCCTGACTCTTTAGTGACTTATCACAGGGAGAGGGTGAGTGAGCAGGGATTTGCAGTGAGAGGGATTTGCAGCTGAGGTTCGACACAGTGGCTCAGGCCTGTAACCTTAGCACTCCGAGGGCCAAGGCAGAAGGACTATGAGTTTGAGGCCTGCCTGGGCTACATGGTGCGGCTGTCTCAAGAAAATAAATGAAGAAAAAGAAGAGCATTTGAAGCTAGCCTCCCCGAGGAGCACAGATGTAATGCTGGCTCCCTGGCACCCAGGACATTCATTTTTCAAATTTCTGTCTTTAGAGTGAAGAGCTGGTAGGGGGAGGGGTAGGAGGGCTCATGGGAAGGTAGAACCTTGCCAAAGCAGGAGGCAACATGGTGAGCTGGGGAGTCCCCAGAGAACATCAGGCCCCTCCCTGACAAGCACTTCAGGTCACAAGTGATCAGATCACAGGCAGAGGCCCATCCAGCAGTTTCTGGGATGTGTCCTTCCTAATTTTCACACCAACTACAGGTCTGAGGAAAAGGCGGCAAGCCTGCATAGTGAGCAGAGGACCTAGAGCATAGAGATTCATGGGTCTGTTTGTGAAAGGTGTCAGGGGCATTGTCTCCTGGCCATGAGGGGTTAATGTGTTGTTAACACTCCGCAGCTGTGCTGCGACTGACTAGAACAAGACTGAATTCTCTCACATGTGCACTGTGGGCTTCTAACCGAAGCCACTGAGAGAAGGGCGTTGCACTCACCCTTGGGGCTGCAGTGCAGCTGGGACACACCCCTCTATCTGTCAAGTGACTCACCTGTGACTCCAGGGGGTCCTCTTTCTCCTGGAGGTCCTTTTAGCCCAGGGTGTCCTGGTAGTCCTGCATCTCCCCGGGGCCCAGGTTGGGCTCCTAGGACTTCTCCTGGAATCCCTCTGTCTCCAGGGGGTCCAGCTGGTCCTGGAAGTCCAGTGGGGCCTGGGAGTCCATCTGGGCCAGGGAGGCCTGTAGCACCTTTGGATCCTCGGGGCCCCATGAACCCTAAAACACAACAAAGGTGGTACCTTTAGCCACAAGTCTGCATTGCCAGGTTCTGAGATAGTGTTGCCAAGAGTCGAGAAAGATCCAGTGTGTGGTGTGGTGGCTTCAGGGGGTTATCTCTGTAGCCTGAGGGTCTGCCCACTGCCCTCTTGGAGCCTGGGCCTCTCAATGTCATTAAACCTCTTTGATTTCCTTCACTATCAGCTTTGCTGTGTCAATACATGGATGGAATGATGAAAACAGACCCTAACACCTAGAGATTGTGGTCAGTGGCAGTGAGTGGGAAAGCCATGGACTGTCACGGGGACATTCTGTGTGGCACTCATGAAGGACCTCAAGACTGTGTGCTTAATCTTTATGACATGGTGTCTCACTGTGTATCCATGGCTGGCTTAGAACTCAGTATGTAGACCAGGTTGGTCTCGAACTCACAAAGATCCACCTGCCTCTGTCTCCCGAGTGCTTGGATAAGAGGTGTGCACTGTGTGCTTCTCCTTAACTATCTACACATTTGGACTAGAGAAATGTTGGAGAGGTGGCTCAGTGTTTAAGAGCATGAGCAGCTCTTGCAGAGGACCTAGGTTTGATTCCCAGTATCTACCAGGTGGTTCACAACCATCCTTAACTCCAGTTCCAGGGGGTTTGATGCCCTCTTCTAGTCTCTTTGGGTACCAGGCATGCATGTGGTACACATACCTACACGCAGGCACGGAAGGCAAATACTCTTACATGTTAAAATAAAACAAAAGCTTGGGAGAATTAGTGAAGCACACCTTGGTATTTCCTGAAATGATGTGGTCACTAGGGTACTGAACTAATCGATATTTTAATTCCTTTATGGATTAATAACATAATGGCATTATTGGGAGGCGGTGAAGCTAGGATATGGGGCCTAGCTGGGGAAGTAGGGATATGTTCTTGGTGGCTATATCTTTCCCCAGATCTTCTTGTATTGCCCCTTTCTCCACTTCCTGGCCACCATTTCGTGAACAGCTCACCCCAGAGTGATGGATGGACGCCTATGAAGCCATGAACTAAGATAGATTCTCCCCATTGTGGATTGTTTTCTCTGGTGTGCAGATCATGCAAACCTAACTACAGGCCGGTAGCCAATGGTGACAGGGTTGTCTATATGTTCAGAATACTCTCAGAAGAGGACAGCACTAGGATGTTCACTGTCTACTGAGGGACATGTCCCCCGTGTCACGTCTGCTGCTCTCATCAGATCTCTGCAGCAATCCAGCATGTCAATGGTTAAAAAAAAAAGGTCAAGGATTTTTAACTTCTCAGGAGCATGGACAACAGTTATAACAGTTATGGAAGATAGCTGAGCTATGGTGGACCTGATCACACACATGAGCCAATTCCTGAACATGAGGACACAAGTCATTTTGACTCACCTGGGGGTCCTGGGAAACCTTCACGACCTGGGTCTCCAGGAAAGCCCTTGAGCCCTGGTGCTCCAGTATCTCCTGGGAATCCTGGCATTCCTCTGATGCCTTTGACACCTAGACACCCAAAGAAACCACAGCCATGTCAGATCCCCTGAGGACCAATGGGACATGATCCAGCTTCACTGTGAACCAGTAAAGTCCATCATGGAACTCGGAAGTGATGAAGCTGGGGGCGGCAGCCAACATAAGATGGTTCTTGCTATATGTTCCCCAGGCAGAGTAACTTTCTTTCTTTCTTTCTTTCTTTCTTTCTTTCTTTCTTTCTTTCTTTCTTTCTTTCTTTCTTGCTTTCTTGCTTTCTTGCTTTCTTGCTTTCTTTCTTTTTTTGAGACAGGGTTTCTCTGTGTAGCCCTGGCTGTCCTGGAACTTACTCTATAGACCAGGCTGGCCTCGAACTCATGTGGATCTGCCTGCCTCTGCCTCCTGAGTGCTGAGACTAAAGGTGTGCACCACCACCACCCAGAACCATGTACATTCTGTATGGTATGCTTAACAGCTAGCTTCCCTGGGAAGTGACCGCAGTCGTAGCTGCCTTGAGATGGCAGGACCCCATTGTGTTCAGAGATGAGCAGGCTTGCAAGGCCAGTGGAAGGGAAACCCCGGGTGGGAAGCAGAAACCTCAGGCCATGACATGAGGCCTGAATATTACCTGTGGGGCCTGGGGGGCCTGGATTTCCAGGTGATCCTGTGGGACCTTCACCGCAACCTGGAGACAGAGGAGAGGTGGGTGAGCTGAAGTGATGGCCACGCTGAGGCTCACTGCCTGGATACTGTCGTGGTCAGAAGCAGCTGGGAAGACTGGCTACTACCTAATGTCCAGATAAACCCTTTGACCTAATTACTGCTGGCTCCAATGCAAATAAAAGCAGAATTCCATCATGTAAAGAAGTCAAAATATGGGCCAGAGAGAGCACTGACTGCTCTTCCAAAGGACTCAGGTTCAATTCCTAGCACCCACATGGCAGCTAACAATTGTAACTCCAATATCTCACATCCTCACACAGACATACATGTAAGCAAAGCACCAATGCAAATAAAATAAATAAATTATTAAAAAAAGAAGTCAGAATATTAGCATAAGGTGCAAATGAAGTCAATTTAATAAAAAATGGGTATGTGCTGGCAAATACCATTTTCTCACGGGGACAATAGCTTTGACCCAACCAAATCATCGTAAATCCCCACAGGTCCCCGGGGGACAGGTTTCTTCCATCTGAAAACATCAGGTCAACAGATGGACACATTTTGTAGTTTCTAAAGAAATTCTGTGATTTCGTTGTGAATTTGCAGTGTTCAGAGTCAGCCACCATGATGAGTTGCTCTGAGCAGGTGCAGACTTATACATGTTGTCAAGGTTTGGATAGGAACAGCCCCCGTAGGCTCACATGTTTAATGTATGGTCATTATTAGAGGCACTTCTTGAGAGAGATTGGGAGGTGTGACCCTGTTGAAGTATGTGTGGCCCTGTTTGAGGAAATGTGCCACTGGGGGTGGGCTTTGGGGTTTCAAAGGCTCAAGCCAGGCCCAGTATTGCTCTCTTCCTGCTGCCTGCAGATCTGAATTTAGAACTCTCATTTATTTCTTGAGCACCATGTCTGCCTGTGTGCTACCATGCTTCCCGCCATGATGAAAATGGACTAAATCTCTGAAACTGTAAGCTAGCCCTCAATTGAATCTTTTATCTTCTAAGGGTTGCCATGGTCATCGAATCGCTTCATAGCAATAGAACTGTGACTAAGACACTGGGGCTGCAGATGCTCCTGGGGGCCCAGGATGCTGCTCAGCTGGCTTCTGAGTGTCCTGTACTAAAGAAAGGAGTCTTGCAAGCATGGCTATTCTAGGAGCCCTTCTTGCCCATCTGCATGAGAACACAGGCCAGGATCCCATGGGACACTTGCCATTGAGTCCCACCCTTTACCATCCAGAGTGGTAACACAGTCTAGAGATACTTGCTCTCCATCACCATACCTGGCTGAATGATCACTTGCTGGCCACCTCCAATAGGCCTTTTCACACCTGTGTCACAATCTGGAGAGGCACAAACAAAGGAGGAGGCAAGGTTAGTACCAATGAGAGTCACGGACTTACCCATGTGTGTGCAGCTGTCTGAGTGTGCATTTGTACAGGCGGTGCTGGGGAGGTTGGGCATGGGTGACTTCATCTGCCCAAAGAAGTGCCACATTCCAGCTACCTAGCAGAGGAGATGGTGGTCCCGAGGAGACTGCAGTGCACATCTGTTCCACGTGTTGTGGGTAGATGTGAAGTATGATACTCCTGTCTGGTTCCCCGGGCACACATGCATGGGTGTAGAGGAGTAGGGGTCACAGCCTTGCTGACTGTCCCAGAACTCAGGAGGATAAGTGTAGGAGTCATTCATACCCAATTGTCCTGGGGCTCCTGGAGGACCTGGAGGACCAGGGTAACCTGGAGAACCTGGAAATCCAGCATCTCCAGGGAAACCACGCTCGCCTTTCGGGCCTGGTAAGCCCTGTCCTGGAGGACCCACTTCTCCTGGAAAGCCCTTGGTTCCGGGCAAGCCAGGGGAACCTGCATCTCCCGGAGGGCCTTTGATGCCATCACCCTGTAAGAGAACCCCAGTTACCTTCAAATGCATACCAGCATCAGAGTCAGCTTCCCAATTTCCCTCCCCCATTTTGCTGGAATTCTGTGCTGTAGGTCAAGAACAGGAGAGCTGGGAGGAAAATGTCTACACCAGTGACAGAGTTGAGTTAGATTTTATAGCCTCACCAACCAGCATGGTGGAGGGCTGGCCCAAGGGACACACATTTATACTCAGGACTACAGGCACAGGAGCTCCAGCCCGTCTATTAGGATTAGCATGTGTGATGTGTCTATTGTTCACAAAGGACAGCACAGCATTAGAGGAGAGGGAGCTGGTTGGATGAGGAGGAGCTGTGTGCTCTTAGAATAAGGGGAGATTACAGGATTGCAAAGAGGAGAGGGATCTTGCCCTGTGGTGATGATACCAGCCAGGTGGGAACACTTGGGTGGGCAATGGAGGGATAAAAGTAGGGAGTGGTGAGCTCTGGGCAGTAGCAAGGGGCAATGCTTACATGGTAGCACCCAGTGGGGCCACAGTGTCAGTCTTATATATAGCTAATGAGATGCTGATGGGGGAATTTCCTTCTGTATAAATGTTTCTCTTATTGGTTAATGAATAAAACACTGTATGGCCAATGAGGCAGGAAGATAGGCAGGACTAGGAGACAAGGAGAATTCTGGGAAATGTAGGCAAAGTCATCATGTGAAGCCGGGGAAGAGGGGATGCACCAGGCGTTCTCCGGTAAGGCAAGACCACATGGAAATACACAGATTAATAGAAATGGGTTAATAATTAAGACAGAGCTAGCCAATAGGAAGCCCAAGCCACCGGCCAAGAGTTTTATAACTAATATAGCATCTGTGTGTTCATTTGGGGCTCAAGGGCTGCGGGACCAACTGGGACAAAGAACCTCACATTACAAGATGATGCTTGCCCCAGCATGCCTGCAGAGTTGTGGATGAAAGGGGACTTTAGGTGGTAGGTAGGCAGGAGCTGATGAGAAGTCACCCTGCCCATGATGTCTCTTTTCTCCTTTGCGTTTATAGGTAAGCAAGTGTTATGGGAAGGTCAATGGGCCATGCTCTCTTTCTGTTTGTGGGGTCCTCAAAGTACATGTGTGTCCATATTTTAGCCTCTTGTGTGTGTGTGTGTGTGGGGGGGGGTTAATAAAGCATTTCACAGGGCTATCAGAGATCATGGGGTGGACCAGCACAGACATAGGTAGATGGTGTGTTTGTGTGTGTGTGTGTGTGTGTGTGTGTGTGTGTGTGTGTGTGTGTGTG